AACCCACTTTTATTTGACCTGTGCCCCTGCCTTGTTTTAACTTAGGCCCCATTATCCTGATCGACTCTAGATATACCTCTTGCCAAGGAGTTGAGATTGATTTTAGGCTTTCATGGTCACTGTCAGTATATATTGACTCCCAAAAAAGCACTTTTGTCAAAAGGTTGGAGGTTTATAGAAAATTAGAGCTTCTCCCATGAATATACTTGAGGAAAAATACTTCCTTACTGTTATTTTAAGTGTTACATACAATAATAAAGAGTAGTTTTGAAAAATGGTTTTTCATCTGCGTTGAAACTCTCAACTCCATCTAGCCAAGGCCATCTTGTATTGTGTACAACTTTCAGCCATCGTTAGCAGGTCTGTGATACATACCTTGCTAACTCCAGCTGGCAACTCATTTCCTATATTTATAAAAGATCCATCTTAATGTTAATTGTTTTTAAAAAAAGACATTTGAGAATTTTTTTTATTCTGCTTATAACCTACACCATGTTTCATAATATGCATTTCTGCTTACAATGCTGTATCCTGATGGTGATGCTCAAAGAGTGTCTTGAAACTTCGAGTAAAAGGGTTTATCAGCGGTTATCAAAAAGAAAATCGTCCACGTCATCTTGCATTCAAAGCAATTCCACATCATTGAGTTTAAATCGTTCAGTGGTTGGAACCGTCTACAGTAACTGGGTCCTGCGATCAGGAAGTTCGAGTTAATGATTAGATTGCTGACAGAACCTACAAGTTCTTATTTCCTGAGCAGACTCTTAAAAAACCAACCTAAAGACATCGCCAAGTTCTCCTTCAAAAAAGTAACACCCTTGCTCGCTACGAAAAAAAAATGATCTCCAGCTTTTGTAACGGCTCGTGGCCACATTTTCTATACAACTTCAAAGAGGATTTATTAAACTTTTTAAGTTCCTTAGAATTTCTATGCTGGTATAACGTTTAATAATTTAGGAGGTGAGCATAGCTCCAAAAATTTGCCGGAGGTTTCAGTTTTCAGCGTTTTCTCAGTTGATGTGGTCAGTGCTAGGGAGAAAGCTGATACTGTGGTCGGAGGTGAATGACCTCATTCTGATCGTCACGAGTATCACGCTCGTCACGACATCTTCCAAAGATCAGTGCCTACTCGGAAATAATTGTAGACATTATTGCGACGCTATGGGGTTGAACGCGGCGGAAACTTAACATGGATTCCAAGGAACCAAGGAAATTGAAGGAGGATTTTCTTGTGAAAAAGGTACGCATGCTACCAAATAAATCATATCAAACGCCGCTTACAAAAAAAAACAAAGACTAAACAAAGAAACAAGAAAATAACTTTGATCGGGATGTCAGTTAACGC